TAACTGTTTTCTGCTTAATCATACTGTGCTATATCGCTACATGATATCCCTTTTCAATAACCCATTGTGCATTGTTCATTGTGCATATTACGTGTATCATGTTTCCTATATTACAAAGGATTGCAATGGGTGACCATGCAGTGTGCATGCGAGACTTTCCTTCGGTCTTTTCGATGATTCGATCTTTCAATTGCTCGTTTACAATCTTTTCGTACGTCTCTTTTAGCTGTTGATTCCGATTCAATTTCCTGTTGACATTGTGAAGTCTTTTTCTGCTGAGCTCTTCATTGGGACAGACACTTCGTCATTTTCCATCATCTTGCCTAACGATGTTTTCTTGAAACTCTGCATATACCGTCGACTGATCTTGCTCCCCTCGGTCCTCTACTTCCAACACGTCCAATGAATACAGCTGCTCGTAGTCACTATTCTCTCGAACAAACACGCACCACGAGTCTGCATAATCATGCCCGCCGTGAACAACCCATCCGAAGGTTGTTCTTTCAACAATTGGATCCTCTGGTTTACCTTTGTATACTTGGTCAGTTCGTATTTTGCAATAGGTTGCGTCCCGTCATCTCAACGCCAGAATCTAAGCAAGAGCCATTACGAATGTCTCCTCTTACTACAGTTAGCGTTGATTTTGCTGAACTGCCGAATAAGGATGATTGAGCAAAATATTTTCATTTTTTGGTATCCCAAGAAGACGGAAAGAGTGATACCCCATACCATGAAGATTCTTACCAGGTAATACAGAAGAAAGGAACTATGATCACTGCTCAGGTGGAAGTGGAAAGAGCTACTAGACTAAGCTAAGAATAAAGTATGAACTCTACAACCGCTGTTGCTGCAGAAAATCCAATCCCAAGATACAAGACTCACTGATCTCTACCATACAAAACAACTGTAAAATGTCTCGAATACGTATTGGCAGTCTAAGGGTAATGGTTTCCAAAAAAGGCACTTTTTCTCCAGTTACAGATTTTAAGCAGTTGGGAACCGGTTGAATACACAGCAAATTTTTAGCAATGTACCGTAGCAATTCGGGGGTGACAATGAAAATATTACTCCCACCTACCGTTTTTCCTTCAAGCGTTCCCTCGAAGACAGTTTTTATGCTATTGACATGTACAGTCCCGTTGGAGATATCCTTCTGATTTCTGAACCACAATTCCAACACTTCCTCTTTACTCATTGTCGCTTCTAACTTCTTAACGAAGTTCGAAGGGCATTTTCTGTCAAAAACCCGCCATTTTCCATGTCGCGTTCAGCCGCGAACCTATTTCTCATAAAAAAAGACAATAAAAATTCCCCAAAACTGTTTTCGAACATGCAGCATATATATATTTCTTCTCGCCAACAATAACGCGTACACGCCCTATTTATATTTACATTTATGTTCTTTCAAAAGATGTCCCTCTATTTATATTTATATTTACATTACATAACGCCTACATTTTACTTTCACAAATATAATAGAAACTACATAATACAAATACTGCCCATGCAATCACACAGGCATATGCGTCCACAACAAAGTTTCTAACTTGAACGTCTGCAACCGGTTTTTGCATCTCGTGTTAGTAGTGGGGAACCTTCCGGCCATTTGGAGAGGTCGTCCATATAATAAATAAATAAATAATAAAATGTCTTTATTTCTTCACAAGATAAAAAATACATATCTTATGTTACATTTAAGATTACAGGATAAAACAATTTACAATACTAGATTATATTTAAAAATTAGACGATTGATATAAGAATTTTTAAAACGATCTGTGTTAATCTTTGCAATTTGGAAAGTTACTAGATTTATTTCTTAGTTCATATCTATTGACTTTCTTCTTTGGCAACAAGTTTCTTAACGGGTGCTGTCCAATTTGCCGAACCTTACTAAAAAGTTTTCTATCTTGCTTTTCCAGCAATTCCTGCACAGTAATTTCTTTCGAAATATATTTACGCTTATGACATCGTCTCAAAAAGCATTCAATTTTTGCAAGTTCGGGTTTGGAAGCACCATATACTGAAAGAGCACAAGTAATATTTGGTAAAACTAAGGTGGTAAATAAGTGATCAATCTCTTTCTGATTATAGCCTTCTTTGCGCAGTGATCTTAGGATGAAGAGACACCGCAGAAATTGGTGTTTAAGACGTTTCAACCCGAAAATCTAATCGCTGGTTCACAATTGTGCATTTCTGTATCGCCCTATCAAAGAGAAACCTTTTGAATATCTTAAAAAAGTTCAATTTTTCTTCTGAATACGCATTCTGCAATCTTTTGACAGCTCATCATACACATCTGACCGCTGTGAAATGGCCATTTTGAGGCTTAAAGTATACACAAGGTTATTAATTCAGACGATTCGTTTTTACCGTGAGCAAGCTTCAAATCTTTTGTGCAAGACATATTTTCTTGAATATTTATAAATCTTTTTCCTCACCAAGTTTGAAGTCTAAGTATCGAGAATTGCGGCTAAGCCTATACCAATTTCCGCGGTGTCGGATGAAGAGGCACTTATTGGCCTTTTAAAGTTTTTCATAAACATGAATTGTAAATCGGCTATCTTCTTGGAATGTAACTCCCAACAAAACGATAGATGGCGTTTGCGGGATGCCGGCCACCACAGGAAATATTTCAGTGCAGCTTTTCTTTCGAATAATCAACTCTTTACAATTAGTAGGATTACTCTCCATGCATACAATTACGACTTGACCACTCTAAAAACTGTTGAACCATCTCGTCAGAAGCATCGTTTATGCCATACCATGTCCATACCATAGACAATGGAAAAGGTCCCATGGGTCCCATGGTATGCATACCATCTAGTAACGGCTATCATCTCCATCGCTGCCCCAACCAATATCTGAAATATATTCTGCAACGATTGTAGGTTCGTAAATAGAAACGCTTGTTGTATAGACTTCTTTCCACTCAAGTTCCTAATTAATTTTTCAAGACTCGGCTCGACAACGTTGTCGGAGGCACGTCTGCGGGACATTGCATCCGCATTTTGTTGTTTCTCTTCCTATCTATACTGGAGTTTGAATATGCAGATCATATTTCTGTATCTTCTGCAAGCAGCGAGCTATTTGTCGTTCAGGACGTGTAAAATTTAGAGACCAATAAAGCGTTCGAAGCACATGCAGTGGTACAGATTAAATCAGGAATAGTCTTTCTTCACCACCTTGTCTAGTTGCCTTTAGGATAAAACGGCTCCGATTGATTTCATACGATGAAGTTCCACTTGTCTCTGGCTGCTATAAAAGGACTCTCCAACACTGTTACTAGGGATGAATAGTTGATACGAAACCATTGTCGCATGACCTTTCAAGCTTGCTTCTTCATAAACAGCTTTTTCTTCTCGTTCCATTGGTGCAATACCAACATATATAGGCTCCTATATTTACATATTGTAGTTAAAACTCACTCGTGCAAATCCCTAATTTAATTAAATCTCTACAAGTTTATGTACATAAAACAACGATCAAACTTTGAGTTTGTGCGCAATTTAACACGATAAATCAAACTCACGGTATTCCTAATTTGCGAATAATTCTGTAGCAAAGTTTTTACCATTTTTGCATGATAAAATGCCCTAAAAATCGCGACATTTAACAAGAGGAAATTATTTAGTACATGCTAGCCATTAGTTAATAAATAGCCAGAAGAGTAGCCAGTTAGAATATATACCGTTTACAATAGCACTCCCCTAATTTTTGCCAATTATCATTTTTGTTTCTAACAGATAATACTGTTAAAACTAAAGCAGATCCTCATGATGAGCAACTGTGGATCAATCAACACAAATCACCCTTGGCAAATGGAAAGATAAGTGCATTTAAGCATATTTCATGATATGGTTTTCTTATGGTCAAATTAAGGTTCTCTGTTTCTGCTTGTTGATATCACTTTTCGATTTGCTAACCGCGGTAGCGTTCATTTTTTCGGTAGCGTTCATTTTTTCGGCAGCGTTCATTTTTTCGGTAGCGTTCATTTTTTCGGTAGCGTTCATTTTTTCGGCCGCGTACATTTTTTCGGTAGCGTTCATTTTTTCGGTAGCGTTCATTTTTTCGGTAGCGTTCATTTTTTCGGTAGCGTTCATTTTTTCGGTGGCGTTCATTTTTTCGGCAGCGTCCATTTTTTCGGTAGCGTTCATTTTTTCGGCAGCGTTTATTTCTCTAAACTTAAGGTCCTCTGTTAACGGCGGAAGGTATGCTGAAATATGCCACTAGTACTTTCTTGTTTGTTGATATGGCTTTTCGTTTCGCTAAATTGCGGCAGCGTTCATTTCTCCAAACGTATAAGTCCCCTGTTAACGGCGGAAGGTATGCTGAAATATGCCACTAGTACTTTCTTGTTTGTTGGTATGGCTTTTCGTTTCGCTAAATTGCGGCAGCGTTCATTTCTCCAAACGTATAAGTCCCCTGTTAACGGCGGAAGGTATGCTGAAATATGCCACTAGTACTTTCTTGTTTGTTGATATGGCTTCTCGTTTCGCTAAATTGCGGCAGCGTTCATTTCTCCAAACGTATAAGTCCCCTGTTAACGGCGGAAGGTATGCTGAAATATGCCACTAGTACTTTCTTGTTTGTTGATATGGCTTTTCGTTTCGCTAAATTGCGGTAGCGTTCATTTCTCCAAACGTATAAGTCCCCTGTTAACGGCGGAAGGTATGCTGAAATATGCCACTAGTACTTTCTTGCTTGTTGATATGGCTTTTCGTTTCGCTAAATTGCGGCAGCGTTCATTTCTCCAAACGTATAAGTCCCCTGTTAACGGCGGAAGGTATGCTGAAATATGCCACTAGTACTTTCTTGTTTGTTGATATGGCTTTTCGTTTCGCTAAATTGCGGTAGCGTTCATTTCTCCAAACGTACAAGTCCCCTGTTAACGGTGGAAGGTATGCTGAAATATGCCACTAGTACTTTCTTGTTTGTTGATATGGCTTTTCGTTTCGCTAAATTGCGACAGCGTCCATTTTTTCGGTAGCGTTCGTTTTTTCGGTAGCGTTCTTTTTTTCGGTAGTGTTCATTTTTTTGGTACCGTCCATTTTTCAATTAGACCAATAATTTCTTGTTTAAGTGCCGTTGTACGTTTTTGCCGGTTACTGTTGTGTTTTAACAGATTATAACGAAAACAGTAAGAAATCTTATGATGAGCGATCGTGGATCAGGGTATCACAAAGAAGAGCTGTACAGATTGGCAAATCGTCGAGAGAAGTCGAAAGAAGCATTGAACAGAAAGTGCATTTGACCAGAAGACTGCACTAACATTCCCCTGTTAACGGCGGAAGGTATGGTGAAATATGCCAAAAGTACTTTCCCGTTTGTTGATATGGCTTTTCGTTTTGCTAAATTGCGACAGCGTCCATTTTTTCGGCAGCGTTCATTTTTTCGGTAGCGTTCATTCTTTCGGTAGCGTTCATTTCTCTAACGTTTTTTTAGTAGCGTCCATTTTTCAATTAGACCAATAATTTCTTGTTCAAGATTTTCGCTGCAATTCTGTTGATTGGGTAAAGAGAAGATTGTAGTCATAATGCAGCATTTGAAACAGTGCCGTTGTACGTTTTCGCTAATTACTGTTATGTTTTAACAGATTATAACGAAAACAGTAAGAAATCTTGATTATGATGAGCGATTGTGGATCATGGCATCACAAAGAAGAACTGTACAGATTGAAAACCTAAAGTTGCTCATCTCGGTGTTAGATCAATGAAAATAGAAATCACCTTATACAGGTTTGAAAGCTCTGACATAATATGCAAGATAGTAATACCTATTTGATTTGACTTTTCGTTTTGCTAACTGCGACAGCATCCCTTTTTTCGGCAACCTTCATTTCTCTAACTTAAGGTCCTCTGTTAACGGCGAAAGGTATGCTGAAATATGCCAACTGAAGTGCTTTTCTGCTTGTTGATGTGGCTTTTTGTTTTGCTAAATTGCGGCAGCGCCTATTTTTTTGGTAGCGTTCATTTCTCTAACGTTTTTTTGGTAGCGACGATTTTTCAATCAGACCAATAATTTTTTGTTTAAGATTTTTGCTGTGGTTCTGTTGATTGGGTAAAGATATAGAAAGAGGATTGTAGTCATATGCAGCATTTGCAACAGTGCCGTGGTACGTTTTCGCTAATTACTGCTATGTTTTAACAGATTATAACGAAAACAGTAAGAAATCTTATGATGAGCGATTGTGGATCTTGGCGTGACAAAGAAGAGCTGTACAGATTGAAAACTTATAGTCGCTCATATCAATAAAAATAGAAATCACCTTATACAGGTTCGCGATCTCTGACATGACATGCAAGATAGTATTACTTATTTGATTTGGAAAGTGTGTACCGAATCATTCGTTCGACACAATGAACATTATTTGTGTATCTCAACACTCACACCTTTATAAATCTCTCTACGATCTGAACAGTAATCTTTTTACTCCGTTGTTAAACCCGAATTATTAACAGAATATGAAATTAAAATTTGAAATTAAAAAACCTTGCAGGGCTACTTGTGTCTCAAATGTCATCGTTCTTGTGGCTCTACTTTTTTCTCGAACTGGCTTGGTTACCACTTCCTCAGTCTTCTTCTCCTTCGTTTCGACCACACTTCTAATTTCTAACGGGCAAATTGCTTAAATTGGTCTCTCTAAACGATTTCCTTTATGTAATAAGAACACTCCTCTTGGTACTCCATCTACGGCCATTACGATACGAACAACCTTGCCTTTCATCCACTTTCCGCGATTTTTCTCTTCTCCAACGATTAGAACAATATATAATCCATGTATATATTCCTTCTGTAATCGAGACCATACATGTTCTCTAGCCTTTACTAGTCGTCGTTGAAACTTTGTCAGTTCTTCATCTTCCCCACATGACCGAGTTTGCGGTCGGCGTTTCCTCATCACCTCCATTACTCTCTACATACGTTAGTTGTCTATTGTTTAAATGTCTTTGGATATCCATTACGACTGCTTCTAGGTGTACAAACGAAAGATGCGACTTTCCTAAAGTTTTGTTCAACGTCTTCTTTGTCCCTTTAAATAATTATTCTTTCATACATGCCGCCCCACCACGGTGATTTGGCCAAGTTGAACTTCCAGCGAATTTCCTGGGTGGCCAAATGATTCTGTAATTGTTCGCTTTTCTGGATCTTTCGAATCCAATTAGCGGTTGTCTTGAACACTGCGGCATTAACTGAATTATCAGTCGGGGTCTTGTTTTCCGCGTAATGAATGAATTCAACTTTCTTTGGAATTCCTCGGCAGATTGGGATTTGGTCAATTCTAAGTGGACTGCTCTGGTGAATGCACAAGCGAATTATTATTATGATGTACGCCTTCGACTCTCTTTTGTCATTCTTTCGGTAAGCCAATGGACCAGCAAAGTCCACACCTGTCTGCTGGAACGGCCGGATAGCTACGAGACGGAAATGTGGTAATGATCCAGTAGTAGTAGATGGTTGTATGGTTTCGCAGCAAACACCTTACAAACATTTTTCTTGTGACCAAATCTTTTGCAGCCAAATTTGTTTTCCTTTTCTGTCCACACTCCTTTTTCCTCTGTGCACATTCCTGTTTCCCCTAATTATTTTTTCTTGTGTCCAAGTTTTCTTGTGTCTTCTCCTGACCTTTAATTTTTTTCCCTGCGCATGTTCCTTTTCCTCTCAATTTTTTTCTCGTGTTTTTTTTCCTGTGAAATATTTTTTTCTTGTGAAATTTGTTCCCTCGTATCTACTTTTTTCCCCATTTTTCTGGTCAAAATCTTCTGTTAAATTTTTTTTCATGTCAAAATGATTTTTTCTTCGGTCCAAAATATTTTCCAGCCAAAATTTTTTTTTCTACCCATATTGTTTTTTCCGGTCAAAATTTTTTCTTTTGAAATTTTTTCCTTGTGTCCACAATCAATTTTTTTCTTGTGACCGCTGTTTTTCTATGAAATTTTTTTTCTTGTGTTCAAATTTTTTTTTCCTTAAAATTTTTTTTCCTTGTGTCAAATTTTTTTTTCTTCTGTCCAAATTTTTTCGAGTCAAAACATTTTTTTCTTTTCTCTCCATATTCCTTTTTCCTCTCATTTTTTTTCTCGTTTCAATTTCTTTTTCATGTGTCGAATTGTTTTTTCGCATCAAAATATTTTTCTTTTGAAATTTTTTCCTTGTGTCCACTATCAATTTTTTTTCTTGTGACCACTGTTTTCCTATGAAATTTTTTTCTTATGTTCAAATTTTTTTTTCTTCAATTTTTTTTCTTGTGTCAAATTTTTTTTTCTTCTGTCCAAATTTTTTCGAGCCAAAATATTTTTTTCTTTTCTCTCCATATTCCTTTTTCCTGTTATTTTTTTTCTGGTCTCAATTTCTTTTTCATGTGTCAAATTTTTTCCTGTCAAAATTTTTTCTTTTGAAATTTTTTCCTTGTGTCCACTATCAATTTTTTTTTGTGACCACTGTTTTCCTATGAAATTTTTTTCTTGTGTTCAAATTTTTTGTTCCTCAAAATTTTTCCTCTTGTGTCAATTTTTTTTATGCTGAAAATGGCTTCAAATATTCAGAGAGACTAATCTCTTTGGTTTTTGAGCATATTTGGTTTGTTTTTTTTGGAGCATTGAAAAAATTGTTAATTTTGGCATGGCAAGGGTGCCCTTACCATTTTAGCCAAAGTTTGGCTTAGAGCATATTTGGTTTCTGTTTGGAAGATTGAAAAAGTTTTTTTGATACCCCTTACCATTTTCACCAAAATCGACAACTTTTCAAAATTTTCTAAAACTATGTTAACATTTTCTAAAACTGGGTTTTGGAAGATTGAAAAAGTCTCTAAGTATTAGAAAAACTTTTAGAAAAGACTGTAAATTGAAATAAATTCACAGTAGAAAAACTGAAAAAAATTTCTCGCCGTCTAAAAAGTATTTGAAAAATTAAAAAAAAACAAATTAAAAAAAAATTAAAAACAATCTGACTAAAAAGACCGGAATAACATATATATTGTAAGGTGGTATCAACATGCGATCCGGTGACCCAGTGGTTAAGGCTACGGGCTACCATGTTGTAAGCGTAGGTTCGAATCCTGCATGGGAAAGATTAACTTTTTCCGCCCGAAATTACTATTTAATTTAAAATTCGTCGAGAAGGATTTAGTCTAATGAAGAACAATAGCTTTCGACAAATAATGTGGTGGCCTAGTGGTTAAGACGTTGATCCTCAATCGGAAGACAGACGTTTCAACTCCTAGCAATGCAAAGGAATTAGCCTGAAAATTTTCGGTGTGACTTAGAAGCCTTAAAACAGTTAAAAGACTTCTCGGACTTTCGGAAATGCTGTAAATTGAAAATGGTTTGAAATAAAAAAACTGAAAAAAATTCTCGCGTTCAAAAGTACTCGAAAATTGAAAAAAAAGAACAAGTAAAAAAATTTTAAAAACATGTATCTTCTAAAAAGACTGAAAATTAAAGTCAGAAAAAAAAATTAAAAATTTCCCGCTTTTAAAAAACTCATGTTTACTTACCTTAATTTTTTTTCACGAAAATTTGACAGGGTGATTTTCTCGAGAGTGAAAAAATTTAATTTTTTTGACTTTTTTGAAATTCTCTTAGATTTTTTTTGGACGCGGAAGTATTTTGTCTTGGGCTACCTGTGTCTGTCTTGGGCAACCTGTGTCTGGCTTGACACAGGTAGCCCAAGATAAAATACTTCCACGTAAAAAAAAAAATCTTAGAGAATTTCAAAAAAGTGAAAAAAATTAAATTTTTTCAATCTCGAGAAAATCACCCTGTCAAATTTTTGTGAAAAAAAATTGAAGTTAAGTAAACATGAGTTTTTTAAAAGCGGGAAATTTTTAATTTTTTTTTTTAACTTTTAATTTTCAGTCTCTTTAGAAGACACATGTTTTTAAAATTTTCTTGATCGTGCTTTTTTTCAATTTTCAAGTACTTTTGAACGCGAGAATTTTTTTTCAGTTTTTTATTTCAAGCTTTTCTTGATTTACAGTCTTCCCGAAAGGCCGAGAAGTCTTTCAACTGCTTTAAAGTTTCTAAATCGAACTGAAATTTTTCAGGCTAATTTTTTTGCATTGCGAGGAGTTGAAACGTCTGTCTCGGGTTGATAGACGAACGCCTTAACCACTAGACCACCACATCATTTGTCGAAAGCTATTGTTCTTCATTTGACTAAATCCTTTTCGACGAATTTTAAATTAAATAGTAATTTCGGGCGGAAAAATTGAACCTTTCCCATGCAGGATTCGAACCTACGCTTACAACCTGGTAGGCCGTAGCCTTAACCACTCGGCCACCGGAATAATATATATATTGTAAGGTTGGTATCAAGATATAATCCGGTGGCCTAGTGGTTAAGGCTACGGCCTACCAGGTTGTAAGCGTAGGTTCGAATCCTGCATGGGAAAGTTTCAATTTTTCCGCCCGAAATTACTATTTAATTTAAAATTCGTCGAAAAGGATTTAGTCAAATGAAGAACAATAGCTTTCGACAAATGATGTGGTGGTCTAGTGGTTAAGGCGTTCGTCTATCAACTCGAGACAGACGTTTCAACTCCTCGCAATGCAAAAAAATTAGCCTGAAAAATTTCAGTTCGATTTAGAAACTTTAAAGCAGTTGAAAGACTTCTCGGCCTTTCGGGAAGACTGTAAATCAAGAAAAGCTTGAAATAAAAAACTGAAAAAAAATTCTCGCGTTCAAAAGTACTTGAAAATTGAAAAAAAGCACGATCAAGAAAATTTTAAAAACATGTGCCTTCTAAAGAGACTGAAAATTTAAAGTTAAAAAAAAAATTAAAAATTTCCCGCTTTTAAAAAACTCATGTTTACTTAACTTCAATTTTTTTTCACAAAAATTTGACAGGGTGATTTTCTCGAGATTGAAAAAATTTAATTTTTTTCACTTTTTTGAAATTCTCTAAGATTTTTTTTTTGACGCGGAAGTATTTTATCTTGGGCTACCTGTGTCAAGCCAGACACAGGTTGCCCAAGACAGACACGGTAGCCCAAGACAAAATACTTCCGCGTCCAAAAAAAATCTAAGAGAATTTCAAAAAAGTCAAAAAAATTAAATTTTTTCACTCTCGAGAAAATCACCCTGTCAAATTTTCGTGAAAAAAAATTAAGGTAAGTAAACATGAGTTTTTTAAAAGCGGGAAATTTTTAATTTTTTTTTCTGACTTTAATTTTCAGTCTTTTTAGAAGATACATGTTTTTAAAATTTTTTTACTTGTTCTTTTTTTTCAATTTTCGAGTACTTTTGAACGCGAGAATTTTTTTCAGTTTTTTTATTTCAAACCATTTTCAATTT